CTCTAACTGAAAGATGCCAATATGAAAAGGCTACATACTGAATGATTCCAGCTATATGACATTCTGGAAAAGGCAAAATTGTGGAGACAGTTGTTTTAGTCCGTTTTGTGTTGATACAACAGAATACCTGAGACTGGGTAATTTATAAAGAAGAGAGGTTTATTAGGTTTACGATTCTGGGACAGCTGCATGTGGCATGGGCCTCAGACTGCTTCTACTCACTGTGGAAAGTGGCAGACAGCCAGCGGGTACAAGCAGATCACATGGTGAGAGAGAGGGAGGGAGAAAGGGGAAGGGAGGGAAAGAGAGGGAGGGAGGGAGGGAGGAAGAGGGAGAGAGAGAGGGAGGGAGAGAGAGGGAGAGAAAGAGAGAGACAGAGAGAGAGAGAGAAGGTGCCAGGGTCTTTTTAAGCAACAAGCTCTCACCGGAACTAATAGAGTGAGAACTCACTCATTAATCCCCCCTCCTCCAAGGAGAGCATTAATCCATTCATGAGGGATCAGCCCCATGACTCAATCAGTTTCCAACACTGCCACATTGGAGATCAAATTTCCACATGAGTTTTGGAGGGGACGACACATCTAAACTCCATCATTCCGCACCTGGCTCCCCAAAACTATGTTACTCTCACATACAAAATACAATCATTCTATCCCAACAGTCCCAACAGTCTTAGCTTGCTCCAGCACCAACTTAAAAGTCCAAAGTCTCATCTGAGACCAAAAGCAAAAGTCCTTCCAGCTGTGAACCTGAAAAACAAAACCAAATTTATCTACTGCAAAGACACAATGGTGGAACAGACATTGGGTATACATTCCCATTCCAAAAGGGAGGAATAGGCCAAAAGAAAGGAAAAACAGGCCCCAACCAAGTCCGAAACCCAGCAGGGCAGACATTATGTCTTAAAACTCCAAAATAATGTTCTTTGACTCCAAGTCCTGCATCCTTGCATCCTGGGCACAATTGGGCATCTGGGCCCCCAAAGCATCAGGCAGCCTCATTCCCACAGCTCTGCCAGGTGCAGCCCAGTGGGCCACGCTGCTGCCTATGGCTTTTCCAGGCCTGCATTGCACATTGCCAGTGGCCCTGAAGTTCTGGGGTCCTGGCAGCAGCCCTGCTGCATTGGCTCTACTAGACATTTCCCTGGTGGGGGCTCTCTGTGGGGGCTCCAACCCCACTTTCCTGCTTGGCATTGCTCTAGTAGATGTCCTCTGCAGTGGCTCTGCCCCTGCAGCAGGTCTCTGCCTGGGCCCCCAGGCTTTTCCATACATCCTTTGGAATCTGGGTGGAGGCTGCCACGCCTCCATTGTGCTCACGTCCTGCTGGCCTGCAAACTTAACACAACGTGGACACCAACAAGGTTTCGGGCCTCTACTCTCCAGGGTTGCTGCACGAACCACACTTGGGGCCACTCCAGCCGGAGCAGCTGGGATGCAGGGAGCAGGTTCCTGAGGGCAGCTGCGCCCCAGGTCTGTCCCCCAGGATAACTCAGTCCTTCTAGGCCTCAGGGTCTGTGACGGGTGGGGCACCCTTCCAGACTTCTCAAATGCCTTTAGGGCTTTTCTCTCATTTTCTCCACTATTAGCATCTGGCTGCTTCACCACCAATATAATGTCTTTAGCAACCAATTTATCTGCTTCACCCTCACATTGTTCTCCAGCTCTCAGCTTCTTTACCGCATGGCCAGGCTGCAAGTTTTCCACATCTTTTCACTCTGCTTCCCTTTTAAATTCTGGCTTTACGTCATGCCTTTGCTGCCATAACTCAGAGTAGGCTGTTAGAAGCAACCACACAGCATCCTTAATGCTTTGCTGCTTAGAAATTTCTTCTGCCAAATGCAGAACCAGAGTTCACAACTCTTACATCCCACCTTCCACAAAGTCCAAGAGCACGGACACAATGCAGCCAAGTTCCTTGCTATGGTTTAGCAAGGGTGATCTTTTGTCAAATTCCCAATAAGTTCCTCATTCCTATCTGAGACCTCATCATCCGCATGGCCTTTACTGTCCACATTTCTATCAGCATTCTGCTCACCACTACATAAGTCTCTAAGGCATTCCGAACTTGCCCTCGTCTTTTTCTCTTCTTCTAAGTCCTCCAAACTACTCCAACCTTTGCCCATTACCCAGTACCAAAACTGCATCCACAATTTCAGGTATCTGTTTAGCAACACCCCACTCCTCGGTACCAATTTTCTGTTTAAGTCTGTTTTGTGTTGCTATAACAGAATACCTGAGACTGGGTAATTTACAAAGAAGAGAGGTTTATTAGGCTTACAATTCTGGGACAGCTGCATCTGGTATGGGCCTCAGTCTGCTTCTACTCATGGCAGAAAGTGGCAGGCTGCTGGCGGGTACAAGCAGATCACATGGCGCGAGGAAGCAAGAGAGAGAGAGAGAGAGAGAGAGAAGGTGCCAGGGTCTTTTTAAGCAACAAGCTCTCATGGGAACTAATAGAGCGAAAACTCACTCATTTATCCCCCCTCCCCCAGGGAGAGCATTAATCCATTCATGAGGGTTCTGCCCCCATGACTCAATCAGCTTCCGACACTGCCACATTGGAGATCAAATTTCCACATGAGTTTTAGAGAGGACAACACATCCAAACTCCATCAACAGTAAAAGGATTAGTGGTTGTCAGGGGTTGAAGGGAGAGAGGGATGAACAGGCAGAACACAGGATTTTTAGAGAAGTAAAACTATTCTGTATGATACTACAATGGTATATACATGTCATTATATATTTGTCAAAACTCACAGAGCATGGGCCGGCCCGGTGGCGCACTGGATAAGTGCGCCGCTTGGGAAGCGCGGCGGCACTGCCGCCCGAGGGTTCGGATCCCACATACAGACCGGTTCCCGCTCACTGGCTGAGCGAGGCGCGGGGGCAACGCCGAGGGTTGCAATCCCGTTGCCGGTCCCCGGTCCGGTACGGGGGCAACACTGAGGGTTGCGATCCGTTGCCGGACACGGAAAAAGACAAAAGACAAAAAAAAAAAACTCACAGAGCATACAACACCAAGAGTGAGCCTTATTTGTAAACTATGGAGTTTGGGTGATAATGATATGTCAATGTAGGTTCATTGATTATTAACAAACGTACTGCTGTGATGCAGATGTTGATAGGAGGGTAGGTTGTGAGAGTGTGGGGACTGAGCATACTGTGTACTTTGTGCTCAATTTTGTTGTGAACCTAAAATTGCTCTAAAACATGGCTTAATTTGAAAAATAATGCTTTTTGTACTATTCCTTTCTATTCTTTCATTGCTATTATTCTTATCCAAGGAATACTGAAGAAAGAATATAAAGAAAAGTACGAATATATACAGAAAACTCTCTGCAACAGTTACATTAATTTATGTAATCTATAGTAAAAATAAAACAAAAGATAGATGTAATAACAAGGGCTTAAAGACAGTAAACCATTAAAAGTAGCAATTTTTTTGTGTGTGACTGGTAAGGGGATCAGAACCCTTGGCTTGGTGTCGCCCACACCACGCTCAGCCAGTGTGCGCACCGGCCAGCCCTATATAGGATCTGAACCTGTGGCCTCAGCGCTCCCAGCACCGCACTCTCCCGAGTAAGCCACGGGTTCAGCCCAAATTTCAATTTACTTCACAACCTGAAATTGTTAAAAAGGGAGGAGAGACTACCCCATGGAGCAGCAGTTACTGCCAGGGTCTGTCGTTTCTGCCACTTACAGAAAGCATGTGGAGAAACCAGGATTGTGGGGTCACTTCAGTCAAACTCTACTCACCGTATTAGGAAACTGATAAGCATTGGTTCCCTAAATTCACTGTTTCTTTTTATTTTGTATAGGTAGACAAACCACAAGCTCCTGTTAGGATTTGGCATGGATAGAGAAGTTCAGTGATTACATGATGCTGAACACCACAACCTAATGGATAGTGTAAAATAGTTTACAAAATATGAACTGCCAGGTTACTGCTGCAATTTAGCTTTGCTGTGGTGTAAAAGGCCAGCAGATGAGAAAATGGATACTACTTTCCTCTATAATACCTTTTCAGGGGCATCTCAAGAACAAAAACAAACGTAAGTATCATCTACCTTAGAAAATGAAGAAAAAAAAAATGCAGCCCAATATTTTAATGGCTAGATTAGAAATACTTTTAAATTCAGTGAGAATAAAAAGAACCATGTTTCCCCCTCCTAGCTCACTGCTCTATCTCCTAGCAGCTAGCTTTCTGCTCTGACATGAAAGGTCCTCTAACGGAAACAAATCTCCATGTAATCTGTTTCTCCTTAAAGAGGTCAGCTTGATGTAGATTGCAGCCATCTTTATTTTTCAGTCCAAGATTTGTCAATACCAACTCTTCTTTTTCTGCTGTTTTCAAAA